AAAAAGACTTTTGTAATATGCTTTCTATATCCTTTTGAATTCTGTAAAATCTGTGGTAATGTCTCCTAGATCTTGATATTGTAATTTAAAAAATGTATGATTGATATTGTGTAACAGGAAGAAAAGGTCTAAAGGAGCAGGGGAAGTGGGAGGGGTAGGGGAAAGGAAAAAGGGAAAGGAAAAAATACGAGAAGAGGAAAAAAATGGAAACAAGGTCTTTGCAAATAGGGAAGGGTGGAGGGGTGAAGGGAGGGCAAGGGAAGGGGAAAAAAATAAGAATCAAGAGACTCATGTAATGGTACAAGATCCCAATGATGAATATAACTGTATTTTATACTGAAAATGTACCAATAAACTTAATGGGGTGGGGCTGGGGGTGGGGAAAGAACTCCAGCCTCTCTCTTGAGGGCTGGCACTCTATTCTGAGTACTTTAAAAATTCTGCCTAATAAATCTCTTTATGCCTTTCACAGACCCATCTTGAAAGTGCTTTTTCTGAAAGTCAGTGAACCCCGGCTTGTTTCATGTGTCAGGTGAGCTGAGGTAACTATGGTAGCAGCAAGTTTGAGCCTAGCTGAGCGGGACGGGGACAGGGGCAGGCATCCCTGTCACTGGAAGGAGAAGAGTGAGGTTGTTTGCTGGCTTTGGGGGGTGAGGCCAGACTCAGAGGGTCCAGCAGACCATGGTGAGGTCTGAGCCTGGACTTGGGGGAGCAATGCAGAGGCAGGCAGGGAGCACCCAGAGCCTTGCATGTGGAGAGATTGCTGAGCATGAAAGTGACTTCGAAGTAAGGGACCAGGCAGGGCAAGAGCCCCTCACATTTGTGGGGAAGGAGTAGCAGGGGCAGGAGGCCCCCAGGCTTCCACACAGGCCTCCTTTGAGTCCAGGCTTTCATTCCTTTTGTGCTGACCTGAGAAATGGGGTTCAGGGACCGGAGAGCATGGACACAACTTTCTCAGAAGTCAGGGAGGCTCGGATGTTCCTGAGGTCCTTTCTTCTCTCTTCCCAGAGCTGTACTGGGAGATAACATTTTTCTTTTCTCTTTTTCTCTTTCCTTTTTTAGGAGATAGCATCTTTTCTCCAACAGGCTTTGAAGAGATGCTCCCTGTAGACCCAACAGAGCAGCAGCCCACTGGTTCCTACAGCTGGATGATGCCACCTGCTCAGGCCAGGGTCTCAGGGTTCCTCACTGGCCCCTTCCAATAGCCACATCCTTCCCAGAAAGAGAGGGGCCTGTCAGCCCTGGGGTCCTCTGTCCAGAGCTGGGGCTCTTCCTTCTGCCCAGGCACTGGGAACTGGGATGCTGGGATTCCAACCCAGAAGCTTGAAGCCCACTCTCTGGCCCATCTTCCCAACATCCACTGCCCTGGCCTTGTGCTAGCCCTCAAACCCAAGGGCAAGAGGCAGCTTACCTGGAGGGTGTGGCCAGGAGTCCAGCCAGCCTCACTTGCCTTCCCAGGGCTGTATCTGTGAATGAAGAATAGAAGTATTTCTGTTTAGCAGACTGCCAGCTTGATGGGTCACTCTAAAGACTTCATGTGTGGCAAGCAGCCCCTCCCTGAGCCCCTGCCTGGAGCTGTGAAGGCCAGGAGCAGGCCTGTCTACACCTCCTCCCTGGGCTGACTGGTGGGCCCAGCCTCCAGTGCAAATGGATTTTCTTCTCCTAGGAGTCTGAAGGGACAGGGAATCATTTTAGGATCTGTGAGTATAAAACTGAGTGAGGAAGTAGTTAAATGACAGCTGGGCCCACCCTTCCCTGCTTCTCCATCACTCACTTGGAGGACACCCTTTGTAAGAAGGTAGACTATTGCATGCGCGCACATGAGCGCGCGCATGTGTGTGTGTGTGTGTGTGTGTGTGTGTACATGTGAACAGCTCGTCCCACCTCAGCCAGGAGCCAAATGCTCACATGCACATGCTGACAAGATCTCCTTTAGGACTTGAAGTTTCTAGATCCCTCTAGAAATCCTCATGCAGCCTCAGGCTCAGATTCCAGCTTCTCAGAGGGTCCCAACCAAGCACAACACAGTAAGCATCAGGGAAATTACTCAGTCATGTTCAGCAGCCTCCCTGAACTCCACTGTCCCTACAACCATTGCTACCACCCTACTGAAACTGGAGATTAGGTGTGGCCAGCTAGCTGGGCAAGTGGGCTGACCTGTCAATCACAGGAACACATGTGCTCAAGCCCTGCACCTGGGACCAATCAGAGAATGCTATCTTCAATTCTTCAAGCAGGTTTTTGATAGGATGGCTTAGATCTGATGTCAGCATAAGCGGTTTAAAAGACAGCTGGTCATTAACTTGTGGCCACTGAGGCTTTTCACCAGCCTGCTCTACCCTTGGTACCTTTAATAAATGTAAAACCTTGCTACTTTTTGAGCATTTCCTGTCCAATTCTTTGTTCAGGACAAGAACCTTTCAGGACCCCTGGAAAAAGCATAGCAGCAAAGACCCCGTAATACTATGGCCCCCAGCACCACCACCTTCCTTACCCCCCCACCTCTCCTGGACTGCCAGCCTTGCCACCGCCATTACTACCCTCCCACCGGCACCCCCACCATGCAGTCAATCAACAAATACAGACTGGGCATCTGTCGGTCCAGACACTGTTCCGGGTACTCAGGATACAATATTGAACAAAATAGACATAGCCCCCTAGAACTTACATTGAGGAAGGGGCCGGCAAACCACGAAGATAGTAAATAAGTCAATCTAAATGCTAGGACCTGATATTAGCTATGGAAAAGGGGTAAAGAGTGGTGAGGCGGATGGGTGTGCGAGGTGAGTGGGCTGCTGTGCTGCAGGATAAGCAGTACGTGAGGAGTTAGCCGGACTGGCTTATACCACTTACTAAGTGCTCATTGAGCGCTTTTATGCACTCACTACTTTATAACGAGAACCCGGAAAAGGGCTGGGCTGGCAAGGACTCAATTCCTTCAACAGTGTTTTAGTTTAGAATCTGATCCAATTAACTACCAGAGAAACTCTGCCAAGTTTCTTTTGCAATGCTGCCCTCTAGTGCTGAGTAGAAGAAGTGCAGGATCAGAATTCAAGTTCTCACCAAGGGTCAAAATTACCCACCCACTCCAGACATTAACATAGTAAATGTTTCAAAATATGGGGAGAAAAATCCTGTGGCTGCACAAACTTCTTTTTGCAATACTGGGGATTGAACCCAGGGCCTTGTGCAAGCTAGGCAAGCTCTCCACCGTCGAGCTACATTCCTACCCCTACAAACATTCTAAATTTGAAAATCTAACATAGTGGGGGCAAAAGTAAAAGGAGCAGGCCAATATAAAAATCCTAAAACTTTCAAAATTATAAATAAAATTATATTTTATTAATTAGTAATGATTAGTGTATCTGTGGTATATATATTTTTCTGGTACTGGGGATCGAACTCAGGACCTTGCACATGGACCACTGAGCTAAATCCCTGGCCCTCTGTGGTATTTATATAAGTTTTAATCAAGTACAGTTCACTAGTATAATTTTGGACATAAACAAAGTTATTGTCATGATCACGGCTAGAAGAAAACCTAGAAAGAACTGTATTGTTAATGAGAATTAAAGGAATAATCACTTACTGGGGCCTTACTATGTGTAAGGAACTTTGTTGGTACATTCAATTTTTGTACTCTACAAGATCAGAGAAACTTCTCTGGTAACCAACTGTAGAAATGATCCCTGAAAATATAGCTTTGGTACATTCAATTCTCAATTCAACTTCATGGTATTTTATGAGGTTGGTATCATTGCATTTTACCCAAGGTTAAAGGAGTTGAAGCTGTAATTGAAATGTGGTTTATCTAGCTCTAAACCTAAAGTTCTGCCTGGTAAAATATGTATGATGGGTTCTTTCTTCACTAGATACAGAGTATCAGAGTATGCATTTTAAAACAAGAATCAACCTGCTAACTAATAAGTAAAAAGAGATAGCTGGACTCCTTTTCTTTTCTTTTCTTTCTTCCCATGCCAGCCTCCCAAGTAGCTGGGATTACAGGCATGCACCACCACACCTGGCTCTTAAACACATCCTTAATAGGATGCAATGCATCCATCTTAACCTACACATGAGCTCATACTTACTGTGGAAACAGTGGAGGCATCTTCACTGAAGCTGAGGAAGAGAACAAGCCAATAGCTTCATATTAATTAATATTCTGGAAGCCAAAGAAATTAATCAAAAAAGATTGATTTTAAGAGTTTAAAAATTAGAAACAAGGAAGGAAATCATCAGTAGTTTAGAGATGATATACAATTATATACCCAGAAAAAACAAGAAAATCTAATAAAAAATATTGCAGGTAACAACACAATCAGTAAATTAACATTTAGAACAAAATAGCATTCACGTAGCAACTAGTTAGAAGAAACAGTGGGAAGAAAAGGTCAATTTACCACATCAATAAAAAAGATTTAAAAAATACTGCCTTAAATTTAATGTGAAAGAGCAATTTCAGTAAGACTTCAAAATGCTTCTTGAAGTACATATTTAGACAAATGGAAATGTAGACTATGTTATTAGGAAAACTTAATGTCATAAAAATTTCCCCAAGTTAGTTTAAAAATTTAAGGTGACTATAATAAAATACCAATATAAACTTTCTTGGCGGGAACTAGATTCATTGGTTATAAAGTTTACGTGAAAGATAAACATTCAAGAATAGATTCATAGTGTCTCTAGTTAATAATGTATTATATGTTTTTAAATTGCATTAATCTCAAATGTTCTTACCACAAAATAAGTACTGTATTGAAGTGCTGGATACATTATTAAGCCTGCTTTAATCATATACAGATATCAAACATATACAAATATTAAAATATCACATTATATCCCATAAATATATTCATTTATTATTTGTCAATTTAAAATAGCTAGGAAACTTCTGCTAGGGAGAAGACATATCTACCAAATATTAAAATCTATTATAACATTATAACCATTAAACTGATTAGACAGATCAATGGAATGTATTTGTAAAGGAAAAGTCAAGAAACATACCAAGCACATGGAGATTTACTGTATTACAAAGATGAGGTAGGGCCGGGGATTTAGCTCAGTGGTTTTGCCGCCTGCTGTGCAAGCGCAAAGACCAGAGTTCGATCCCCAGCACCAAAAAAAAAAAAAAAAAAAAAAAAAAAGATGAGGTTACAAGTCAATGGGGGAAAAACAAAGATCACTCAAATAGTAGGATATCAAAAACTGAGGTACAAGCTCAAGGTCCTGAGTTCGATCCCTGGTACCAACCCCCCTCCACCCCCCCCCAAAAAAAAACAAAAACAGGGGTACAACCTGGCAAAAAGTGAAACTGGAGCTATTCCTTTCATCCCACACCAAAGTAAATCCAAGGTAGAACAGACTCAATCTAAAAAGGAATCTAAAGGGAGCCTCACAAAAGTGCCAGAAACCAGAGGGACAATGGCCTTTCAAAGTCTGGTCCCAAACCAGGAAATCAGAAAAATGACTGACCAATTCCTATCACCAGTGGCAAGTCAAAAGGAAATGGGACAAATTAAAAAGTGATGCCATGGACACCATTGGTAATGACAGGGCTGCTTTCTTGGGGTGCATGGCTGGGGACAGGTGAGCACCGCCTGGAATGTGGGTAGTGACCAACAGGAAGCAACTGACACTCACACACCTAGAATTCATTATCTGCATCTCTCTGGTGAGGGAAGGTGTGTGGCACTATCAGAAACCTCCTTCTAATTGCTGGCAGGTACATAGTGAGCAGAGTCCCTTCTCCCTCTCATAATAAAGCAACCACAGAAGAGAAATGAGTCACACTGTTATGGAAGCTGAAGATGATGAAGAGCCATGTCCAGAGCTCACAGGGCAAATGAAGGACAGAGCCTTCACACCGCACAGGAGCTGACAAGGGCAGAGAGCTCAGCAGAGCACTCCCATGCATTAGAACTGCAATAAAACATTATAATGCTGAGAAGCGTCTGAGTTATTAGTATAATAAACTGTAAGTGTGCACTACCAGGAAAGGGTCGGAAACCACTGCCTGTTAATGAGCCTCCTCCTCAGGGACTTTGCAAATTGGAGAGAGACACAGAGGCCTCTGCTGGCCACATGGAAAGACAGCTGCCAGCTCTAGGCCTGTGGAAAGAACCTTGAGAAACCGGAGGGTGACGGCAGAGACAGACAGGGGGGTGAGGAGCAGAGTGGCTGAGGTTTGGGCTCTTGCCCTACCTGACCTGTGTTACATCAGCAAATGCATCTTCTTTCTTAACCTAAGTTTTTTGTGCAGTAAGTGTCTGATCCTTTAAACTGATGAGTTCTGATTAGTGACATCCACAGTGTGGTATCATCTTTGTGGGAGACTTAAGGCCACCTATGGCATGGTACACATCCATTTGCTTCTTGTGCATACTTTTATTTGTTTGTTTGTTGAGATGAGGTTTCTCTATGAAGTTCAGGCTGGTCTTGAACTCACTATGTAGCCCAGGCTAGACTCAGTCTTGCAGCAATCCTCCTGTTTCACGCTCCCAAATGCCGGATTGTGTGCACCAGGTGTGTGCCACCAGGGCTGGCTAATTATGCACACTTTTGATATGACTCCTGAGGCTCCTGTGTGGGACCCTGAGTTCCACAGTAGCCATCTTTGGAAACTTGTGGACCAGATAATGGAGAATCAAGAGAAGACATCTACTTTCGTGGGGTGGATATGGTTGCCCCAAATGAAAACATGTTGGTACCACCCTCATCCTCCCCAAATGTCATCACAACCTAAAGATGATGTAGCAATGCTAATATTAGACCAAACAGAATTTTAGGAGGAGCACAGTGAAAAAGACAAAGAGGGATATTTCATACTGAAATAGTTTACCAAGAAGACACAACACTCAAACCTATATGCTCCTTGATGTATGGCTTTAGAATGGTAAGTGAATTATTGTCATGAAGAGAAATAGACACAAAATCAGAGTTGGAGAATTTGGGCCACATCTCTTAAATAGCTGAAAAGAATAGATTAAATCCATTGAAACAGATTGAAAACAGATTAAATAGATTGAAAAAATAGATGAAAGGATGAGAAGTAGAATCAGGATAAATAATGAATGGATGAATGAAGAAATCAGAAAATTGAGATTAATACATCTGACTAAAGGGAAAGTGAGAGAATTCTATTCCATAGAGGACATAGTTGCAAAGAACCCTTCCCAAAATTGACTATATTGTGCCACAGAAAAAATTTCAACAGATTCAAAAGAATTATTTTATAGACCAGACTACATATTTCTGGTT